CTTAGTCAGTTGTGTCAATGGAATTGCAATCCTTGAGAAATCCTTCACGAACTTTCTGTAATAACCTGCCAATCCCAGAAAACTACGAACCTTGGACACATTAGTCGGCCTCGGCCAATTCACAACGGCTTCAATTTTACTAGGATCGACCAAAATACCATCGTTATCAATTACATGGCCCAAAAATGAAATAGTGGAAAGCCAAAACTCACACTTGCTAAACTTAGCATACAATTTCTGATCCCTTAACGTCCGTAAGGTAAGTCTCAAATGATCCTCGTGTTCAGCTTTACTCTTAGAGTAGATCAATATATCATCGATGAAGACAACCACTAACTGACTAGGCAAATCATTTGGAAAGACGTCAGGGAATTCATTAACAACTGGGACGTCGGCTAACTCAACATTTCCATTCAGATTACTTAGTACACTACACAAATAACCTTGACACCCTTTTTGGATCAACCTATAGGCTTTCATGGATGAAATTAAGTAAGGTGGGGATACGACTCCTTTACCCTGAAACGTGACCTCGGCTAGGTTTGGGGGTTTTAACGTGACACTTTTAGAAACGCAATTTATGGATGCGTTATTTGCCACTAACCAATCCATCCCCAATATAACATCAAAATGAGTTATGTCCAATGGCATTAAATCAGCTAACAATTCAACATTCCCAATCACAACAACACATGCTCGATAGATGCATGCAACATTCATGGATCTCCCAGATGGAGTAGATACAGATAACACATAATCAAGGGGTTCTAGTTTCCTATTAATCTTCTCGGCAAACTTAGCAGAAACGAATGAATGCGTAGAACCCAAATCAATCAATATATATGCATTTTGAGAGCAAATTGGGAGTATACCTGACACCACTGTCTCAGCATTCTGAGTGTCTCCTGGTACTAGTACAAAAACTCTGCCTTGCCTCATCTGTCCTTTCCCAATGTTACCTTTCTGTACGGAACCCGAGGTATTCTCATCCTTCTTACTATCGTCAGCCTTTGTTTTAGGACAGTCCCTCACATAATGACCTATTTCACCACACTCATAACAAGCTCCAGACGCCCGACGACAGACCCCGAAATGTGGCTTCCCATAACTAGAACATGTCGGCTTAGTACCACTTTCCTGCCTTGGGTTGCTCGAACTGCCAACATTCGCTTTCTTCTTGGTACCAAATTGTGCTCGGCGATTGTCATAATTCTGTCTCTTCCTCTGGCTCTCTCCCGAACTCTGGTATCTGTTCAAGTTAGCTTCGGCCAGAATGACTTTGTCCAATACCCCGACATAAGTTGGCTTGTTGAGCATGTTAACTCGGTCTTGTATCGGTCCACGCAGCCCACTTTCGAACTTCCTAGCCTTCATATATTCATCGTTGACTATGTGGGGTGCATACCTCGCCAACTCGGTAAAGGCACGGTCGTATTCAGCCACTGTTCTACTGCCTTGCGTCAAAGTCTGAAATTCGGTAGTCTTGCGATCTCGAACACTTTAGGGGAAAATGCTTGGTGTAAAACAACTCTAAAAATCGGGTCCAGGTCAAGTCTGGATTACCTTCTCGAACCATCATCTACCATCTGCGAGCGTCATCATCTAGGGTAAAGGCTGCTAATGTCACCTTCTGGGTGTCGGTGCTGGGAAAGATCTCGAACAGCTTCTCCATTTCCAAAACCCACGCTTCGGCTTTCATCGGCTCTATACCCCCTTGGAATCTCGGTGGCTTCATTTTCTTGAACTCTCTGATCAAGGCTATCGTGCCATCCCCATATAAGGCTGGCTGTGGGAGCACTTGTGGTACTGGAGGGGGTGGAGGTGGAGGCAGAACTGCATTTCAGCCGTTTGTCTGCTCGGTCTGAGTTGAAGTAGCACTAGCGTACTGCTGTCTTGTCTGCCTTAACTCGCGGGCCAAACCTTCAACTAACCTTTCCAGTCTGTCTAATCTGTCCTCAAACTGATCTCGGCCAACTGGAGGTCTACCTCTCCTCATGATGCTATGAGTATGCAAAATGTGACTTTAAAACAAAATGAACAAATAAACACGTAGGCAAGTAACAATTAAGCATGCCGAGACGATGCACACCTTATTCAAATAGCAAGCAATATGATACAACCCTAACATCCTTCTAAGGGGAAATCCTATGCTCTTTAGGACTCAGAGTGTGTGAATAACGTATACTAAGGAACTTCTGCTTTGATACCATTCTGTCACGACCCCAAACCGCCCCTAGTAGGATGGTGCCGTGATGACCAGTAATCCGAGATTACCGAAGGCCAATTTTCAAAATTCACACACAACAGAGTATAAATATATGGGGCTCACAAGTACGGAAGCAATACATACAAATCAGATTAGTCCATAAGAGCTGTGCGTAGGTCAAATGAAACGGCAAACATCTTCACATGGGTTACAACTTAGTACAAATGAAGTAAAGTACTTATTATATCTTGATCAAAAGGCTTCTCAAGCCAACGTGTGCAAAATACAAGTATTACAAGTCGAGAAGCATGATTTGCAAGACTGCTGACGTGAATACAAGTCAAGCCGACATAACAAAAATCCAAAACAAGCTCGCGAATCACATCTAGGCGTCACCGCCTTCTTGCTCATCACCTACATATATATAAGATTAGTCCATAAGAGCTGTGCGTAGGTCAAATGAAACGGCAAACATCTTCACATGGGTTACAACTTAGTACAAATGAAGTAAAGTACTTATTATATCTTGATCAAAAGGCTTCTCAAGCCAACGTGTGCAAAATACAAGTATTACAAGTCGAGAAGCATGATTTTCAAGACTGCTGACGTGAATACAAGTCAAGCCGACATAACAAAAATCTAAAACAAGCTCACGAATCACATCTAGGCGTCACCGCCTTCTTGCTCATCGCCTACATATCTATAGAGAGGGTGAGCTTGGATACTCAGTGAATGATATAAATAATAAAGGGTTTGCATGAATAATAGCCGAAGTCTTTTCAAAACGATACATATCAAAACTTTATATAACAAGGGATGGACCTCGTCCATCTAGCAAATCTTCAAAGTTTCAAGGGGTGCTTACTAGCATCAATATATTTCAAATGATGACATTTCGGACAAACAAACCCACGCGGTAAACCGTCAGTGGCAAAACAAGACAAAGCAAGGGAGATATCTCAAACAATTGTGCAGTTGCATTATAGTCCCCTGGCACTAAGGACTCTCAAAACAAGATGTATAGTTGCATTATAGTCCCTTGGCACTAAGGACTTTCAAAACAAGATGTGTAGTTGCATTATAGTCCCCTGGCACTAAGGACTTTCAAAACAAGATGTGCTTGATATACAAAATAGGGACAATCATTCATGTTTAACAAATACTTTTCAAAGCAAAGCAAAGCAAAGCAAAGAAAAGCTCATCAAAACATTGATAACATAGCTTTATTAAAAATACCACTCACATAGTTCTTCAAACGTCGGGGTCAAGGCAAAAGTCCGAGTCCTACAAACACATGGCAAAGTCTATTGAACGTACTTTCAAACAAGGTTCACATGCAACCGAATGATCTCGGCGTTCATCAAAACCAAGTTAAATCAAAACAAAACACTGTTTTTCATCTCGGGGAAGAACATGCTGGGCATCAACCAGGTCTTGGCTGAGGTCCCACACCTTCTTGCCGAGGTGTGGTCCCGACGGCCACATTCAAAAGCGAAGTCGGGAAAATCTGGGTTTCCCTTTAAAGAACATGAAGAACATAAAGAACATAAAGATGGAGGAGATGAAGAACATGCATGCTAAAATCATAACTTGTTACTACAAAGTCTGAGATTTTGTGCTATGAGTTCGAAAACATAGACCTGGGTACCCATACTCAAAGATCTTGTGAGAACAAACATAAAAAACGTGGTTCTTGATGCAAACTTTCGGATCAAAACAAGACTTTTCTTGAAGAACATATGAATACTATCTTCTCTTACTAAACCAACTTTAAATCGATGCAAGGCATGTAGAACAGGTTCGATCATGCAATGCAGCTAGACGATCAATAAGAACAACAAGAGTAGTTTAAGATTCTAACCTCAAAACTAGGATCTAACGGTTCAAACTCCCGCGGTCACGCTTGGAGATCCGCCTTCTCACTCAAAAGCTTCTCTTTCTTCTTCCTAGAGCTTCTCTCTCCTCTTCAAAACAAGGATATAACAAATGATAGGTTTCTCCCTCTGCTGGCTGACTTAACACTCAACTCGGACACGTGGCAACGGCTGGTTGGCTCTACTCAAAAAGGTGACTGGCTGACAAGACATGACCATGACAAAGTGTATTCAACAAGCTAGACGGCAAGAGCACTCCGGCAAGTGATGATCCTGGCTAAGGGCAAAGCTTCGACAACTAAGGTGACAACGACATCGGCTTGGAAGGACAACACTTGACTAAGTTGTGCCACACCTTGGCCTAGATGTGCCACACCTCGGTCTAGGTCATACCATTCTAGGAACAAAATCACTAAGTGCAAGGATCAGGGATCTAGAACGCCTAGATAATAACATCTCGGCCTAGATGATGCACATCTCGACCTAGGTGACGCACACCTCGACCTAGATGATGACATCTCGGCCAATATGCCAGGGTGAAGATGGAGGCCAATAGAAGTGGTTCCAAGATAGTTCTAAGTGTGGAAAGGTTCCAAGGTGTCTAGGCTTAAGATGACCTCGGCAACACACCAGGCAAGAACAAAGCATGTAGCAACACTCAAGTAAAACAAGACAGGGTTTGCAAATGCACATAACAAAACAAGATCGTACATAAATGTATGCAAGTATGACTAAGTTGAAGTGACGGTTGTTACAATAGCAGAGATTAAAGAAGTTGATTGTAAGGTATATGATTGGCTAGTTGATAGACCACCAATTCATTGGAGTATGAGCCACTTCAACACTTTTCCAAAGTGTGACCTGTTGCTAAACAATATGAGTGTTTCAATGCAAGCATCTTGGAAGCTAGGAGTAAACCTATGGTTACAATGTTAGAGAAGATTAGGTTGTTGTTGATTGAAACAGTTCAAAAAAGAAGAGATGCAATGCAAAGACACAATGGTCCCATATGTCCTAAAATTCAAGATCATTTAGAGAAAATGAAAGTGGATGCAAGTGGATGGATTCCTAGATGGAATGGCAATGAGCAATTTGAGGTTGTAGGGCCATATGGTGAGCGACACAAGCTGGACTTGCAATCTTGGACTTGTGGCTGCACGGAGTGGGATCTGTCAAACATTCCATGTGCCCATGTTGTGGCTGCTACAAATTTCTTGGGTCAAGAACTAGAAAAATATGTTCATCAATACTACAAGGTAGAGACTTATTTGAAGATCTATGTCAATATGTTGACTCCTATTAATGGTAGAGAAATGTGGCCAAGAACTGAGTATGCAAAGGTGCTGCCACCTGATGTGAAAAAGAGAGTTGGGAGGCCTAAACAAAATAAAAGAAAGGAGACTGAGGCACCAATTCAAGGCATAAAGCTAGGAAGGCAGGGCACTAAAATGACTTGTAATAATTGTGGGAAGGTGGGACATAACAGGAGAAGTTGCAAGCTTAAGGGCAGATTCAGCTACATGCAAGAAAGCCAACCTCAGGGGAGCCAAACTAAACCAAGCCAACCTCAGAGCCAATTAACTGCAGAAGCACCTGAGGTCAAGAGACACATGAGACAGAAGAAACTGGCTATTAGTGTTCTTTTTTTTTTTTAAAAAAAAAATAGTAACTTAACTGTCCTATATTTGATTGTGTTTAATTGTGGATAATTTAATCTTATTGCAGGTTAAAAGGAGAGTGGTACAAGGAAGTCAGTCAACTCCATCTCCAATGAGTTCAACCAGCACACCAAACATTGCAAACTGCTCAGCTGCAGTACCCTCTACTTGTGTCAACACCTTGTTTCTTGCCCTTCTCACTTTTTGTAAGTCAACCTTCACATTGTGCTCACTTGAAATAGTGTCTGCCAATGATTGAATTGGCCATGTAGGATTTAACCTAATTCTTTCAAAGTACTTATTGACAATCCATTTGGAACTCATACGTGCCACATTAAAAGACCTATTAGAAGTGTGCTCATCAATAAGTGTTTTGATCCTATACAACCCATCATGTTTTACGTATGAAGCATAACAAACCCAAGGACAACCAACTTTGCACTCTGCCCTCACCTTTTGTTTGTCATTCTTGGTAAATGTTATATGTTTGCCCCACATAATTGCATACTCCTTCACAACATCCCTAAACATATCATGACTCTTGAACTTCATACCAAGTTTCAAATGAGGATTGTGCATGTCAGAGTGAACATTAAAAACAGGGCATTGCCTCCTATGAGAAGTACCTCCTTCATCAGATGAGCTGTCAATACTTCTTAGCTCATCAAAGGAGCTTCCAAGGCTTTGTAGGTCATCAACTGCCTCAGCCATTGCATTCTTACTACTTCCTACACCAGCATACTCTAGCTCTTTGTCAACATTAGCCTCATACAATGCATCATCATCAGAAAATCCATAGTCACTATCCTCATATTTCTCAGACTCATCAGATGATGAAGAGTCTAAGGGATTAGGATCATAGTCATCACTATCTTCCTCTTCTGCTACCTGTATATCTACAAGTACTCCCTTTCTCTGACTTCTTTTTGCACTTGACCCTATAACACCATCCATTCCTAAACAACCTACATAAACCTCTACTACTCTCTTTCCATCCACAAGTGTCTCCAACCTCATTACATATTCGTCAGTGTTAATCAACTCTAACCCATCACAATAATTAAGCTTATAGCAATAGATGTTACATCCAGTGCATCCTACTTCCTTGGCCATATTATCCAACTCCACCAGTGATATTTCATCAGGATTACAAAAGTCAAAATAACTGATCAATCCATCACTATAAACCCTCTGAGGATTATAACTAACCAAACCCCTATGATGCATTTTGATTGTGAAATAACAAGATCCTTTCTCTGCATTTTTAAATGAAAAAAAAATGCTATTATGGACTAATTATATTAATAAATAAATAAAAATAGTATTAAACTACTATTACCATAAGACAATTCCAATTGAAGAAATCCATGTATGAATACATTTAAAATAAAAAAAAACTTTAGATTCTAAAAATTGATTAAACTAAATTGATTTTTAATAAGCATTACATAAAAAATGAGTTTCTTTTAAGGACTGATTAAACTAAAACTAATTAGTCCTTAAACAATTTAAGTAAAACAATTACGATTAAACAAATCATTTTCAAAGACAAACGACAAAGATGTATTCTAAAAAATGTCAAATCAAAATAGTATTATATCATAAATCGATTTTTCATAATCATTAGCTTCAAAACTAAACAAATATTAAAAGTAAATACCATAAACAATTGGTTGCTTCCTTCACTTGCCATCCTTCTGTCTCCGAACCCAACCCATGATTGAATGTTAGTCCGTGCCCTTCGTTCACTAATGAACTTTGATTTCAATTTCAAATAAGGAATTTGAAAATCCTAAAACCATATTTTGATCCCAACGAAGCCCTAATTGAACTGTCTCATGAACCAACTTATTTTGTAAGGAAACCCTCTTATATTCTCTCCAAAAGATAGTTCAGGGGGATAGCTCATCACATTCCGTCCAATTATGGACGGAAGGTGATGGTAGGGGTCTAATTGATCAATTTGTAAAAAGTTTAGGTACTAAATTGAAATAAACAGAAGTATAGGGGTGTGCGTGAAAAACGAGTGATAGTTAGGGGGGGGGAAATGATATTTACTCTTAAGTTTTAGGGTAGTGCTATGGTACACACCCCTCAAAAGGTGTGTACCACACGCACCTTTGTTACGTACTTTTGTAGCAAATGTTATGTATCTTCTTGATAGATTCATGATAATTTGTGATTCAAAAATCAAGTTACACATTTTGTGGTAATATTATGCATTTTTGTGGTTAAAATTTTTTTGGATAAACAAATGTAGCATTATTACAAAATGCGTAATTTTATTTTTGAATAAAAAATTATTGTAACACTATCAAAGCAATATATAATATTTACCACAAAAATATGTAACAAACACCATAAAAATATATGACATGGTGCATATGATACACACCCCTTGAGGGGATGTGTACCATAAAATTTTCCTAAGTTTTAACAATCTTTATTTAAAGTCTAAAAAGTTATACTCCTCATTTAAATGTTAAAATAAATAAATAAATAATCCTTTTTATCTTTGATATCAGGAAAAAGATCATTGTTAAAAATCTTCAATCATAGATACTAGAAACATACTTCCTATCAAAGGCTTATAATATAACGTTTGGACTAAGAACCCATAAAAAACTCTCTTGATTACACAAAATTTAATTAGTATTATTAAAATATAAAACGGTTTTATTGAGATTTTATTTTAGGCCTTATTGAAAGTTTGGCCAGCCTTATCACCACTTACCATCTACACTATCAATATCACTACTTCTATTACAATCACCGCCACCACTACACCGCTGCTCACTTTCCCACCTCCTACACCACTATCACAACCACCAACATACCATTTTTAAGGTCAGAATCACAAAAATAATTTTTTTTATCAAAACAAAATAAGTCTAAATCACTTGTACATTTAGTACTCATATTGTTCATTGATATGTTGCATCTTCTTACATTTAGTATATGTTTGCAATTGTTAGGTCTTTTGCTGGCAGCGCTTATCGTGGAAGGAAATTCAATTGCAGAGGCAACCACAAACAAACAAAGATTGTCATCTCTGCCAACATGGACATGTTTATTATGGTTTTTATATATATATATATATTGTTGTTTGCCAAGACAGTGTATTAGATTTCTGTCATCAAGACTTATTTCATGATAACCACAACTACGTAACTTTAATTTAGACAAACTTATGGTCATACATCTTGTTGTATCTCTAATCTAAATTTTGTTTTTGTTTTTTTCTTTCCACTTTTTTTTTTATTCTTCATTGTGTAATATAGAGCTAATGTTTTGCATAAGAATGTAGTAACCAGGTTTAGGTTATGACTGAACCTTTATTGACTACTGTATTTTTAGGGAAGAATTATTTCCCAGATATCATATGACTTGGCAGTTCGGGCATACTTTGGCTACCTCATGCATTGCCTATTCCATCTCTTTATTTATTCATATCTGTATCTAAATCTACGTTGATGCTGAACAAATTATATCTATGGTCTCTAAAGTATGTATTATGTGTCACTTGGTCTTCAAAAAATTTATTTGGTCAATTTCGTTCCTAAAGTTTTCAATTTGAGTCAAATTTATTCAGTTTCAAATTTAATGGAATGATATTAAAATACATCCAAAAGTGAATCTCATTGCTGATTCCAACCAAACTGCAAGGTGTATATTTCAGAGTTCATTTACGTAAAAGTTCCAGCTTTAAAATTTAAAATTAATTTCATGTTGTTGGTGAAAGGGGAGAAATGAGCGACACCGAAATTTTAAATAGCATTTATAGATACAAACATTTTGCTTTATATTCGTGATTTCGGTGATTGAAAAAAGCAGTGATGGTAACAGTGCTGTTTTTATTATACGTAGCATATGAATCATTCAACTGCCTCCTTTGATGTTTTAAGCCACATAGAATTCTGTGTTCAGTTCTGTGATCTATTTTGGTGTGAGTAGCATTATTGTATGCCTTGATTATACTTCAAAGTAGTGTTTGTTAGGAGTGTAATTGATTCGACTAAGTTGGAACCTATTGCCTCATGTGTTCTCCTCTATACATTATCTCTTTTTTTCTTTCCGATTTTTATGTTTATGTTATGTGGAACTATATTTTCATTTAAATTATCACTCTGTTTCGTTCAATTTTCAAGTACCTTTACATTCATATATAGTTCTAAATTTCTAGGTAACATCAAAATTTTGTCTCTATCCATCCATATATATAATCCACTCCATCAGAAGAATGGTTACTTGCCCCTCCATCAAACTCAAAGACATGGTTTCAATAAAAAGAACATAAGAAGTTTGTTAGCCTAGAAAAAATTATTGAGTGTTAGGTTAATTGGAATGAAATAGAAATTTAGTGGAATGAGTATTCCCTTATAATGATGAATGATGGTTCTATTTATTATACATTTATTTTTCATCAATTTTTAGTGAATCAAATGTGAAAATAAACATTATAATGGAATAATCATTGTATTTTGTTTTAATGAACCAAACAGAGTATTAGTATTTGATGATAATTAAGATGACTCAAGGAAGCTAAATACAACTTAGAAACAATGCAAAGATTAAATGCTTGCTTCTATGTATTCATAGAAGAATGATATAATGTCCCCTCCATGAAAACTCAAAAGACATATATGGATTCCCTTAAGAATATAAGAAGTTTGTTAACCACAAGCACAAGCAAGGTTTCTCCATTAGTGTTTGCTGATAAAAAGACACAAAGGAAGCCAAAGTATGTATTTTGTATCACTTTGTCTTTAAAAATTTTATTTTGGCAATGTCATTCCTAAAGTATTCAAGTTAAGTAAAAAAAATTCAGTTTCAAATTTAATGGAATGATAATAAAATACATTCGAAAGTGAATCTCAGTGTTGATTCTAACCAAATTGCAAGGTGTATATTTTAGAGTTCATTTACATAAAAGTACTAGCTTTAAAATTAATTTTCATGCTACTCAACTACTCACTTGATGAAAGACTTCTCCTAGAATATTTTTAATGTCATAGATGAACATTATTTAATAACTTTTAACTGATTTTTGGAGAAAAAATCTTAAGCATGGT